ATTTCTTTGTTGTTATGCTGTTTTGAGGATTTTTTTAAAATGTAAGATTATTGTTTTCTAACAAAAAGGGGGGGGAATCATATTACAATATCATATTACTACAATTATTTACTACAAACCTTATGATGAAAATGTGGACAATTTGGATTTTAGTTCAGATCAAACAATCTGAAGCTCTACAAACTTAGATTCAGATTGAAATAAATTTTTGTTGAAGGTTTTAATGTTGTAGTGATATTGTATCAAGATAGAACATAAAAAATCATGTTTCAAGGTCTTTTGCACTCACTGACAGTGTGTGTGTGTGTGTGTGTGTGTGTGTGCGTGTGTGTGTGCTTGTGCGTGTGTGTGTGTGTTTTAATTAAAGCTTTTCTCCATTTGGTTGCTTACTGACATGCCTCTTACACTTAATCTTTTTCTTAATCAGAATTGTAGTCTTGTTTTCAAGTAAAAAGATGCATTCATTTCAGAAGCAAAACTGTGTTTTATTTAAGATATTTATTATATCTTGATTTTTAACCCTTATTTTTTTCCATATAAACCTTAATTGAGAATGTTGTATTTATGCTTTAAACAAGGAGCTTTAGAGCTTTAAACTGAGTTTTATTACATTATGCAATTTTGTTTCTCAAGTAAATTTATCTTGTATTTTTTTTCAGTGTGAAATCTGATCTAATGTGGTATCTTTTATTCCTTTATCTTGTTTGTTTAGTACAATAACTGTAAAAATATGTGAGCTTTATTACTAATTGTATCTTCCAAACATCATCTAAATTGTTCAAAGATTTTATATCGTATAATTTCTTTTAAGCGGCAGTTGATTGTTTGGGTTTGCACAAAAACATATTCGTATGGATAAAGCAATGTTAAAGTCTAAAGTTGTTAACCCCTGCAGGGTGATGTCCCATCCTCAATGATATTTAGATTTTTTTTCATACTCAAATGCACAAATATAATCATATGTATAAATGGATAAATCTCACAAATTGAAAGTGTTTTGCTAACAATTACATTTGTGAAGAGCACATGTAAATAATAAATATTGTTACATACTTTATTGCCTGTGGGAAACACTAAATCATTTACCATGCTTCTATAGCAGTAATGACAAGCTGCAAAGCAAAAAGATTGAAAATAAGCTCTCAGCTGTTCAGCGTATTTATTGAGTAGTGTACTAAAAGGACACTGATGATTTCATGTAAGGGTTTGCATTATACAATTATATGTACTGAAAATCCTTTTCATAAAGGAAAAGCACAGAGCTGTGGAATTTTTCAATAAAATATTGCATTTATCAGGTGTATGGATATATTTATTAAATTAGAATAATTATTAGAGTCTATTATGATTATATGCCACTACAATATTCATAACGAAATGCAGTGGGGAAAATTAACAAAACATTATTTGGCATGTTGTATTTCAGAGCAAATTCTGGTGTCTTTTTAACATACTGGGTCCAGGTTAAGAGGCAAAACAGCTTTTTCTATGTAAATAAGGCATATTATGAAATGCAAAAGATTGACAAACGTCAAAAAAAAAAGTATTTTCTGATGCAGTAACATGCATCTATTACTGCCCATGCAAAGCAGGCAGTAAAATTCTATTAAAATTAAATTAAATGCTTGAAGTGATCATGGCAGCAGTGATTGTAGTCAGATCTTTTGTGTGTAAATAAATACGGTGCAGGGTAAATTACTTATGAATTGCTTGCCTTACTGAAAAAAACTTTTCAATGACATAATCTGTTAGATTACACATTTTTGGTTACTTAATCTGACTACGTTTGATTACGTTTTAGATTACTTTTGATGCCACATACATTTAAATAGTACAATCTTGTACTATTTTGACATAAAACACAATAAGAAAATATTCCATTCTCATATTACCAACAAGTGCCTCATAAAAACAGATTCTTAAAGGGACAGTTCACCCCAAAATGAAAATCCTGTCCTCATTTACTCACCCCCGTGTCGTTCCAAACCTGTATGAGTTTCTTTCTTCTGTTCAACACAAAAGAAGATATTTTGAAGAATGTTGAGAACCAAACAGTTGCTACACACTTGCAAATACCTAGCAACACCTTATCAACCTCCAAGCAAGTAAATGGCAAAACCCTAGCAACTGCTTAGCAACACCCTAAAAAACAACCAGGGGTGCGTTTCCCAAAAGCAACTATGGCTGTCGTTACTAATAGAGTTCAATGGAACTTGCGATCATAGTTTGCTAATGATGTTTTTGGGTAACGCACCCCAGAATAGCATCCACATAGCAATTTATCTGTCTGTCTGAGAGACTGCATGAAGGCCTGAAAACCTTCAAATGATGAGCTTTTAAAATTGCTTAAAACACTCAAAGTCAAATGCGAACTTTGAAAGTAAAATCACTAAGAACTAGTTTGATATGACTGACCTTCAAAAAACACACACTACACCAGCACTCTATTGGAAGTGGTTTAGCAAATTATTCAATAGGACTCTCGAGGTGGCCACAGCTTCTAAAGACATTCAGTTTTGACCTTCAGTTACAATTTTGAAGTGTATGAAAAGCCTGTATTCACCCTTCTGTTCGAGCGTATCCCGAGGCCGCCAACAGACGTGGTGTTTCAGTATGTCTTTGATGGCTGAGTGGTCAGCAACCATGATTTCTGAGAACGACTGCAGAAAACTGCCAGGAAACACAGTCACAACGAACAGACACAGCGTGCCAAACTTCATAGGTTCACCTTTGGCAACCTTCAATGGGAAATAGAGTTTTAATGGCCATGAAGAGAGAGGCATGATGAAAGTTGCAGCAAATTTTCGTTTTTGGGTTAACTGTCCCTTTAAGAGTGTTCCGACTGGCAGAGAGAAAGTTGTGCGTGTTCAGTTTCCAGTGAATTTCTTGGAATTTCATGTCGTGTTTGTCTCAGGTCTTGTAAAAGAAAATTGAGCAGCTATCCACCTGATCTCAAGCGAATCTTTACACAGTCACACATTCAATGGAAGTCGGGTGGGTTCCAGTATTGTTAAAATGTCTTCTTTTGCGCTCCACGGGAGAAAGCAATGCATACAGGTTTAGAACGAATGAGTAAATGATGACACATGTTTTTTTAATGGGTGGACTATCCCTTTAATTGAATTAATTGTAGGCATGACATGCAGACTTCTTCACTCCCATTTACAAGCAATTTTCCATAGTATGAAAAACTGTGGTGGTTTATACTGCAAATTATTCATTTGTACCCTGATGCACAACCTAAAAAAATTTAAATGCAATAGGCCTGTTCATTTTAAATCACTGACTCCAAATGCAAAATGCAGTCCTAAGGAGTAATCTGATGACCAGTCCTATATATCAATATAAATCATGCTAACACAGCAGTATCTGATTTGATAATATCCACAAGAGATTCCGGCTCTAACCCCTCATCTAAATGTAGTATTCCCCAAGCATGTTAAACAGTTTCCCACACCCATTTTTTACAGCCAAGTCATCCAAAACTCCTGTGACCTTGAGTAATTATCACTCGGCTTGCAACACTTTTTGGCCACTGGCTGTTGACTTGAGAAGAATTTAAAAGACCTCTTCCATATTCTGTGTATTTGAATGCCAGGGCTTGTCCGCAGTGGCTAACGGAGCAGGATCAGAAGACAAGGCGAGGGTCTTACTGCTCTCTACAGGAACATGACTGAACACGCTTGCTGCAAGGCAAATCTGAGAACACATAAAAACAGTGACCTTTGCCTGCTTCATCTCAAAAAATGAAATAACAGTAATAATTTGATTAAATGTGGTCGTGGTTTGTATTTCATTCAAACAGAAAATGATGATTTATGATAGCATGAATTATGTTCAAGTTTGACCATAATTCTATCACATTGATCGGTTTCAGCTTCTGGACAGCTATTATCGATTGCTGCAGGACATGTTCTGTCATTCAACAGCACTGGAAACTAAAACCAACAGCATTTCTCAATCTCAAGCAAATGAGTCACCAAGGTCTTTCTGGCGATGCACAGCAGATGTGCTCCACCAAGTGGATGAAAGTAGTAGTGCTACTAACTTTACATTTTTCAGAAATGTGACCATAACGCTGCTGTTCTGTAATAACTTCTCTGTCAGATTTGATGAGTTGATATCTTCTTAAAAAAAAATTTAAAAAAAGTATGTTTGCTATTAAATGACTTAAAAGGTGTGATAAGCATTGCATGAGACTGCACAGCCTGTGAACTATCTTGAACTATAACAAGGTTGTTGTATCTATCTCTGTATTTTATTTTATTACACTTATATTGGCTTATGTTGGCGTGAATTGCCACATAAAAGATAAAGATAAAATATGCATACATATAAACATACATAAAAGATATTATTAGTGGGTAAAAGCTTTTTGAGCTTTTAGTTTGTGAACTACATAATAAAATAACGTTATGCTGAACTTTCATTTTATGATTTTATTGTGGATTAGTTGAACCTCTGTCACTAACATAACTTACCTTAGTGTAAAGCACGTTTGTATGATAAATGTCATATGTTCTCTGTCTTGTGTTGGACTTTTATGTTAATTTTTTTTTTTTTTTTAATTCCTGTACTGGTTTCTTTAGTGATTGGGCTGCTTTCCGCATCAGGTGCTTGTACTGTTTACTGCATTAATGAGATGCTTTCCCCAGCACGTAACTGTTATTACAATTATGCACATATTCCCATTTTGCAACAGTTTCTCGTAACTGTAAGCGGGTCATTGTTAACCTTAAATGTCATTAAACAAGCATGCATGCTTGTCAAACAGATGAAGTGCAACAGATAAATTAGCATAATAATTTAGACTAAAATATGCATTTTTATGCACAATTAAACAGAAAATATATTTTTATAACAATAACTGTAATGAGGTTTTAATAAAGAGTTCTTTACATTTCGGCCCTACTAGAAAAAAAAAGACAGTAACATGTTACTGTGTTCAGAGTGTTTCCTCACAACAGGCGATCTGTACTGTAAGTGACAACAGCTTGGGCATGTTTGACCCCCAAAGTCCAGTTCGGTACCCTTCCATGGTGGACTCGGGTACGGTTTGCGGGTGCACACCCGAATTCAGAAAACAGCGTTCACATCCAAACGAAACGAACTCCCAAGTGATTTGCAAAACACTAAACACACCTGTATACATCAGACACAGAAGTATATCATGATGTCACTTCCTTGCAATTCCAAAGCACTGACTGTCAAATTACCACACAACTTGCTAAACGTGTTTTAGGTTAGCAACAGCAGTGTGTAACTGGTTCAGAAAGATTAAAGTCATATGAAATGTGTGTGTTTCGTATGGTAACAAAATATTGTTTTTATAAAGCTGTGTATAGTTTTGACAAAAGTGTTCCATTTTGCAAATGATCTGAAGTGTTGTGCTACTTTGGTGTAGGGTTGTGTTAATTGTGTGTAGTGTTTTGACAAACCGGGCCCTGTTTTCAAAATTGTGCTTAAGCAATCGTAAAAAACTGTAATTAGATATCATTGGCACATAACTGTGCTTACAGCTTGCTTACACCTTTCTTACATCTTCATTAATAATACTGACTAAAGATATTCAAATATCCAAGTAATATCCAAGTCATTCTTAAAAGCTATATTTTGTTTGTTTCTCTCTCCACACAAGACCGGACTCATCTGGTTTCGAGCATGTCTTTGTAGTAGAGACGAGAGGAGGTCATACTGTCATTGGCTTTCACAACTGGATTCAGTTGTACTTACAAGAGAAACTAGGACACATTGACTACAAAGGATACAGTGTGAATGCCAAATCGCCACAGGTATAGAGCAGTTCGATTCATTTAGCTACCGTAGTGCTTTTTTCTTTGTGGGTTTGTTTTTATTTGTTTCTAGAGCAGCACATAATAAGACAAAATATAGGAAGACGACACCATCAATACAAAACAAACACAAAACGTGTGTGTGAGAGAGAGAGAGTGTGAGTGTGTGTGTGTGTGTGTGACTTAATATAACTTACTTAATGTTATACTTAATATAACATCTATAACTTAATGTTAAAGGAACACCTGAAACATTAAAATTCTGTCATCATATACTCACCTCCATGTCATTCCAAAGTCATAAGATTTTCTTTCTTTTGTGGAACAAAATTGAACATACAATAGAATAGAATAATATTCAATGCTGTCCAAAAGCTTTTTATACAACTCCAAATCTTCAGAAGCAGCACAATCATTATGCTAGACAGAGCGAAACATCAAACCTCACTGGCTCTTGCGTGTCACGTGACTTAACGTGTCATCACACAAGCACCAAAGAGGTTTGGTGTTATTGATATGCATACGTATACTTCTTCACTGAGGCATGCTATACTAACTATCTGAAATCTGTTGAGAAAATATTTTGCTGAAAACCTGCAATCTAATACGTATATCTGTCTCATAACATTAATCTCTTTTTAATGCATATTCTTTCTTTTTTTTCTTAATTTCCTTACTTTCAATCTCGTTCCCAGCCGGATGAGAGCAAGCACATTTTGGCTCTGCAGTTCAGCTGGAAGAATGGAATCAAGCCCAAAGGAAGCATCTTCATCGGTGTGAGCCCAGAGTTTGAGTTTGCTCTGTACACTCTGTGTTTCCTCACGTCTCCAAACGAGCGAGTCAAAGTCTCCTTCAACGTCTATGAGGTGGAGATCGTCTGTCACCACTACAACCAGAAGCACATCGGCACCACCTATCCTGTGCTCGTCAAATACCTCAATGTATAACCACACACAGGGCCAAGCGACTCATAGTTCATTATTTCATAGTGGCTTGGTTATAAGTATTGATGTTATGTTTTAATCTCAAAAACAATAAACTAAAAGACCATCAATGCCATAGCCTTGTGTCTAAATGAATCTTGACTGCATGTGTTCCTCTTCATTACCGTCTCATTTTCATACACTGATTCATATTTCTTGTTCACAGTATTCTGAGGTCATGTTTTGAAGCGTGTCTTCTCCAGACTGGTTAAAGCACAAACCAATCATATTCAAGTGTGGGTTTGATCTACTGAACGAATGCACCATGCTTCGGTGAATCAGTCATCTCGTTCGTCAAGTTATCCTCGACTCGGCAATGCTTGAAGGCTTTGGCAGTACGAATGTAAAAGTATTGGTCATGCCAATAAAGGAACTTAACCCTCAATTGGTCCTTAGGGTCAATATGACCCCAATTGAAAATGAATGGGAAATGTGAAAAAATCTCTACATTTTTTTTTCATTTGTAAAAAAAAATCAATAAATCCAGCATGAATCTGAAATGTGGAACGAGCGTACTCACTCACGTACATACACACACACATGCGCACACACACTCTCTCTCTCTCACACACACCCACCATTCATATCTGCTTATTGCAGTTGTTTTTTGTTTTAGTTTTTTTTGGGGGGGGGGGTTTGGTGTTGTTTTAATTTACATTTAAGTAAAATAAAATTGTTTTGATTTTTACTTTTTAGATTGAAAAAAAATATGTGCCTGCAATCAAGTTTTAGTCACAACTTGTGTGGCATTTCTGCAAATTTATGTGGCATTATTGCAAAAGCGGGCACTTCAAAATGCCTCAAACAACAAAAACAAACTAACCTTTGAGAAAAATACTGTTTTTTTATGTATTTTATAACGTTTCAATGTATATTTACAAAATATATCTCAGAAAAGTTGTAGGAGAAGCAGTGGGCCACTTCCAGAAAAAATGATTGGATCTCTATGGGCCTCTGCTGGAAATATATGTTCATTACACTATTCTTTCAAAAACTGTCATTTCTACAAGGTTTTCTCTAACCAGCAGATGGCAGAATTCTACACCTAACACCTAGATCAATATCCAAAAACAACTTAAATCAAATTTAGATCATCATTTAAGTGATTTTTTCATACAAATGTGATAATTCACACGCAAGCTAATGGTGTAGTTGAGGAATTTTGTGGTAAATAGGTACAAAAGTACTTCATATCTCCCAAAACACAGCTTTAATGTATAGATGAGAAGTAAACAAAAAAAATGATATATTATTTGTATGATTAAAAATGTATATATTTTTCACAATTACTCTATCAATTTCTGTGACTAATATCTAAAAGATACAGGATTAATAAAGAGGATTTAAGAATGATTATATGAGTTTTTTGTTTCTCATTCCCTCAGCGTCAATGCTCCACACTCCGTCCCAGTAGGTGGCAGAATCTGCACCCAAAGCGGGTTTGCCAACCGGAAGCAGCAGCAGCCTGTCAAACACAAGCTCCTCCCATCGGGCCTGCTGTGAGACTGCAGTTGTCCACTGTAGAGCTGCTTTGGGAATAGAGGAAGGTACGTGTTTTATACGTTAATATCTTAATAGGTCACAATTCAGATAAAAAAAGGAAAGAACCAGTCGTAGGGTGACACAGCGCGGTAAAGTTATTCGTGTCACGCTCGATATTCGGCTGTTCTGCTTAAGGGATCGTCTAAAAATTGCACGCACGGTACAAAACGTAAGCCATGTCCAATCCTTAATTCAACACCTTTGAATTGGCACACAGCTTCTATTAAAACTGTATACATCACATGTAGTAAGTCAGTGTGGTCGCTGGGAACCTATTACAACTTTTTAAATATGAAGATAACATGTAGGTCAAATAAAGTTTTTTCACCCTATACTGTGTTTGTATAAAGAATTATTATATTGGACTATATTGGCAAAATTTCCCCTGTAAAAAGACTGTGTGGTTAGTTGGAGCCTAGTAAAGTACATAAATTATATTACCAAAATAAAAAAAAACATTTTCCTAAAAGTGAAACCACAACATTTCAGTCGCCCCCTGGTGGCCGGCTGCGGTATAGGTCATAAACCATGGGATGTGTACACTTCAAATATATTTTTGGTTGCTTGAACTTCAAATAGATTATATAAAAAGATAAGGGAATATTAAAAATATATGTTCCGAGGATGAACGAAAGTCTTATGGTGTTGGAATGGCATGAGGGTGACTAAATGATGACAGAATTTGGTAGTTGTTTTGCGGTTGGCGACAGCTGGATTGTGACTGGAGCGCTGATGGTAGGAAGTGGTGTAGATTCCGGAAGCGATCCAGAAATGGAGGATGCGGATGCGGATGCGGATAGTGGAGGCAATGCAAGTAATGAATGGAAAGTGGTAGAAACTCGAAAAAGAAAGAAAAGTTGGGGACAAATCTCAGAAACGGACAGTGAAAAGGGAAATCAACAGGCAAGAAGGAGGAAAGAGGAATATAAGGTATTGCTGAAGTTCGCTAATGAATCTGTTAATGTTATTAACCCTTTGAAACTAACAAAAACAGCAGAAGTAAAAGGGTTAATTGCAAATGAAATAAGAAAGAAATGACAGAAGGAGTGGGATAGTGGAACAAAAGGTAGACATTTTCATCATGTTCAAGAGAAAGTAGGTCAAGAAAGAAGAAAGTTTGGCAACAGGAAAGAAGACGTTTTAATGTCAGGAATGCGTATTGGACATTGTTCTTTAAATCAGTGTCTGTATAGAACGGAGAAGCATGAAACTGGAAACTGTGATAAATGTGGTCATGCAGAGTCAGTAGAACACGTACTTATAGAGTGTGATGCATATGAAGGAGCAAGATTTCAACTAATTCAAGCTTTAGGATCATTCGGAATAAATAATTTGTCACTTCAGGTTCTGTTAGGAAATAGCCCAAAGCAATCAAGAATATTTCATGAATTAATAATTTTCTTAAAAGAAACAAGACTGATCAATAGAATGTAGGATACAGTTGTAGTAAATAAAGCGGGAATAATTGGCGTTGTATTTTTGTTTTGTTTTTTGTTTTTGTTTTTGGCTATAGTTCTCAAACTTCCAATCATTATGCGCTCCACACTCCTATCCAGTAGGTGGCGGGAATGCACCATTTAAGTTGCTTTGCCAACCGCCATTAAATTTAAAAGAAGAAGAAGAAGAAGATGACAGAATTTTCATTTATTTTGTGAACTCACCCTTGGACAGCGCCGACGTTTTACAGTAGTTATTGCATTTTTGAGACGGTCCCTTAAACGCCATGCTATGATAGCGTGTTAGCGTATTCTTGAGTATTAAAATGCAGCTATAAGAAGCGGTTTTAGGTATGTTCGAATATTGTTTAAACGTACTGCGGTATTGGTATCTTTGCAAGACTGTCACCTCTCCAGAACAGAAGGAGAAAGCAAATATACTGCGAATAACGTGAAACGAACGACGCTGTTTGACAGTGTTTATCACGCTTGTTAACATTAATTTAGGTTAGTACATCGTTTTTGCCAATGTGTTTCCCTTCAAATGGAGTCGGAAATATAGTAGTTATGAGTTTCAAACACGTGTATGGCCAAGCGAAGTCCTATTTACAAAAACGCGGAATTCTCCCAATTCGCCTACACTATTTATTTCGTGAAGAAAACATATATAACGTTACTTTTGAGTGTGCAGCAAGCAAGCTTTGGTTTAAACAATAACAAACAATTGGTTACAATACTTCCACGTCATAAAATCGCTCTCTGTCGCATAGTTATGTATTCTGACTGTCACCATAAAGCATAAACCGGCCTGTCAATCATCCTGTCACACTTAAAGGGACAGTTCACCACAAAAAAAACTGTCAATTTACTCACCCTCAGGCCAGCCTAAGATGTTTGCATCTTTCTTTCTTCAGTAGAACACTAAAGATGAACCCATGGTCCTTGGTGATTCATAATATGCAAGTTACCAAATACAAGAAACATACAATTAAAAACCCGCAGCTCCTGGTGATACATTGAGATGTTAAAGGGATAGTTCACCCAAAAATGAAAATTACCCCATAATTTACTCACCCTCAAGCCATCCTAGGTGTGTATGACTTTCTTCTTTCAGACAAATCCAATCGGTGTTATATTTAAAAACGTCCTGGCTCTTCAAAGCTTTATAATGGCAGTGAATGGGTGTTATTTTTCAGTAGTCCAAAAGACGTCAAATAAAGCGCATCCATCCATCATAAAAAAGTTCCCCACACGGCTCCGGGGGTGAATAAAGGCCTCCTGAAGGGAACCAATGCGTTTTTGTAAGAAAAATATACATATTTAAAACTTTATAAACCGTGATCTCTTTTTTTTAATCTCAGGAATGTTCAAATGTCAGCCGACCAGGAAGCACAAGAAGATGAACTGCTTGCTCTAGCGAGCATCTACGATGAAGAGGAGTTTCGCAGAGCCGAGTCGGGAAAAGAGGGCGAGATCCATCTGTGCCTGGAGCTTCCGCCGAGCTTCAAACTGCTAGTCAAGGGTGAGGCTTTATAAGCAGGTGCTCAAACCTTGTTCATAGAGTCTATAATGTTTCCTTGTTTTACAGGACAGAATTCCACAGAGCATAATGTATCATTTCTACCTCCACTGGTTCTGAGTTTTGAATTCCCGGCTGACTACCCTTCAGCATCGGCTCCGGTTTTTACTGTAAGCTCCAAATGGCTCACGAGAGTCCAGGTGAGTCCTGTTTAGTGATGTCCTGAAAGCGGTGTCATTTCATTGTTGTCATTTGCTCTTTTATATATCGAATTCATTCTTTTTGATTTTGTAGCATTGAATAAAAATGGATATGCTCACTTCTCAGTGCTTGCTCTTTTACTGACTGTCAACAACAACCTGAGATAAAAGTCTCTCCCTAAACTTTTATTCTTGTTGGATAAACTGTTTCATTTAGACATTACGTCACTTCACTACTGTACTTAACCCTCTGGTGGCGTTTGGGTCATTTTGATCCCTTTTTTTTTCTTTCTTTTTTTCGCTTTTTATCCAGATTTTTTAGATAATTTTTGTACTTTTTGGGGATTTTTCCCACCTTGTTACACTTGTGATGTAAAAATGTCCAGCCTACAAAAAATAGCTCATAAATTACTTGTTATATTATCACCAAATATTGGATTCAATCTTTTTATCAACTTGTTTTCTTTCACTTAGGACAGGTTTTGTGTTTCTTTTTAGAGCTGATTGATCATAGACTTCATTGATCTGAGCTTATGCACCTGTTTTCGAGTGAAAAAACATTATTTGTGCATATTTTTGTCAATATTAGACAAAATATTTAAAAAAAATGGTACAAAATGACACAAAGTCACGCTTGTGGTGTTCTCGGGTCAAACATGGCCAGCTTACGAGAACAGAACAGTTATGCAATATTATCACCAAATACTGGATTCAATCTTTTTGTCAACTTGTTTTCTTTCAATTAGGTTTTGTGTTTATTTTTGAAAGTGATTCATCATAGGCCTCATTGATCAAAAATGGCATCCAATGAAAGTGAATGCGGGAGATCGAAAAACAGAATGAACGGTTTAAAGACTCAATCAAAGACAGTCCCTTGTGGCGTAACAATGTAACTGCACTGATTGACAGCCCGTCTAGAACGCTCGGGTGAAATATCTGCAGAAAGTCTCTTGTCCAGTCGATTCGAGGATCAGAACTAACTGTTATACATATAGGCTAACAATTAATGGTCATAGAGTTTTTATTTTGAGCTATTTGGGAATGCTAAAAAAATGTTTGACAACTTCTGCTGCTGAGAAACCTGGAAATGTGAAAAATGTCAGGTTTATGTTCTGTTATTTTGACATTCTCTTCTGTTTATTTCACTTCCTGTATCAACGGCCTATTTGGTTTTGGTTTCATTGGTTTCCGGATAATGACCTCGTTACATCGTAACACACACAAAGATTATATATACATATATATATGGTGATAATACGGCATATCGCGCTATTGAGCCACTCAAAAAGGGAGGGAAATTTAATCAGATATTTAGCATAACGAGGGATTCACAAGCATTTTTTTTATCAAATCATGAGGTACCAAGAGATTCCGACCCCTAGTTAAAACTGAATACTTGTACTTATGTACAATTGCATTTATGCGGAAAAAAATGATACTTTTTACTACATTACAATTTGATGCAGACTTAAAAATGCAAAGACTATATGTCATCATGACTTAAATCTCTCCTGTGTTAACTAACAAGCCAATCAGTCATACTCACATTAATTTAACTTTCCTTTTATTTAAACAGCCAACAACATCTAATTTAGTGTAAACACTGATAAAGGCAGCAGTTTTTTAGAAGAGTAGTTTACCAAGAAATAAATGTCATCATTTTCCCACCATTATTGTCATTGCAAACCTGCATGACTTTCTTCATTGGATCACCAAAGGAAAAGTTATTTTCCCAACCATCCCAAAAGTGGATGGTAACCAGAGGGTCATAGCAGCTTTGACTCGGGTGAATGCTGCTAGTTTGGGGTAATCGGTTTGTTCAGCTAGTGGAAGTCTGGGAGGATATTTGGGAACCCTGTTCAAGTGTATTTGGTGATCTTTTTCTGCTGCTGTAGCATTGCGATAACCTTCCGCTCTCACTCCATCAGATCACTGCACTTTGCAGGAGACTGGACGAGCTTTGGGAGGAGAACCAAGGCAACGTGGTTCTTTTTACCTGGATGCAGTTCCTAAAGGAAGAGACTCTGGACTTCCTGGGAATCCAGTCACCACTGGAAATCCAGAGCATTGAGAGTCAGCCTCAGTGTGAATCTGGCCCAAAACAAGCAGTAGACCTTTCCGGAGAAAAAAGTAAAGATTTAGACCCAAGAGCCGTGCAAGAAGTCGACGCTCGCACAGATATACTGACTCAGCTGCTGGATTTTGACGAAGCTCAGAAGCAGAAGGTGTTTGATGGGAAGGTGTTCTGCTGTGGCATCTGTTACTCCGAGAAGCTCGGATCCGACTCTCTGCTCTTCAAAGAGTGTCAGCATGTGTACTGCAAGGCCTGCATGAAGGAATACTTTCAGATCCAGATAAGAGACGGAAAAGTCCAGTGCCTTAACTGCCCTGAGCCAAAGTGCATGTCCATGGCCACTCCTTCGCAGGTATCTTCTGTCTGTTTTTGTGTGATTGTGCTATAGTGTGAGTATGGATAGGTTATGTAGGGCTTGACGATGAGACTCGGGCCCACTTGAAATGACAGATGACGGTTTATCATTCGCACATTTTTAAGTTGCCAGTGTCGATTTATAGAAGACACACGAGAAGAGAACTCAGTACTTAATCGAGTTTTCTTTTGCATCTTATCACGCTTAAACAGAAAAATACACAAAATTATATTGATGAGCATCCACAAGCCTTTGGGAGAAAATCTGATGCATGTCAATGTATTACATCTACGCATTAGGTTTTAAAGTGAGCAGTGTAATATACATGCTGCTGTCTGTGTCATTAATGTTCATCAAAAAATGAAAATCACTCACTGCTCTTGACTGAATCACTTCTGTAGCTTTAAAAGCATTACTCTGTATTTAATCTATGCAGTGAAGACTGTACAGTGTAATTTTATATTTGATTATTCAATTTCTGCAGGATTTCTTGTTTATTAGCACTGTTTATTTCATGTGTATCTTTGTTGTATTTATTTGTGCTATTTCTTGTAATTTGTTATTATTTTATTGCTGACTGATTAATTGTCTTTAATAATGTTTAAACTTTAAATTAGTTAGACTAGTAGTTTTTCCTGTGATACCGTAATTGGAATGGAGAATTGAGAAATTTCACTGGTAACTAGGGGTGTGCGATATTGACCAAAAAATATGAGTCTTAATGAGTTATTCATTGAATCATTCATTCAAATGATTCATTCAAAACGGCTGATTCATTAGAAAAGAACCAAGTTGCTGTCTTCATGAATGGATTATTGAATCATTTACTCAAATGATTCGTTCAAAAACCGATTCATTCAGGAACGAAACATTGCAGTGTTGCTCTGAGACGCACAAATGTTCTGCTCCAGCTTTGTTTGGAACTATTTTCATTGGCGAAACAGAAAAACACAATAATGTGCTCGCTCAATATTAACTTCATGTTTGTTGAACAAAGCTAATATCACATTCGCTGATATTCAGGAAAATGACTGGCACTCTTGCTTGTGTGAAACTGTATCATATCTTATAAATATAAATGTAAAAAACAAAAGCCCATATAGAGATATTTAGCTGGGCATTCTAACTGTATTCTATTCTAATAGAATAGTTTTTAATTTGTTTTTGCAAGTGAGTGACGTACTTGATCGTGTCAGCTTGTATATCGTTAAAACAACAATTACGATATTATCGTAGATGATACATATCGCACACCCCTACTGGTAACTACAATTTTGATGCCTTAATAAAATTTATTAGAATTGTTAGTGAAAAACAACAAAGCAATATTTTTACTGTAAATATCTTAACCTTGAGCAAATATCCTTGAGCCCTGTTATGACTCTAAAACTCTTCAGCTGCATTCTGAATATAGTTTTAAGACTGACATCAGTATGCTCATATAATAGGTGAAACTTCTCGTGGGCGAAGATGAGTTTGCGCGCTATGATCGTCTTCTGCTGCAGTCGAGTCTGGACCTGATGGCGGATGTGGTGTATTGTCCCCGCATGAGCTGCTGTATGGCTGTGATGGTCGAGCCTGACTCCACTATGGGCATCTGTCCCGCCTGCAGATATGCCTTCTGTACCCTCTGTAAGCGGAGCTATCATGGCCTCTCTCACTGCATAGCGACCGCTGGTAAGAGGATTTTTATCTGCTACTGATCTGCTACTTAAGCTTTTTATTATTATTATTCTTAGACTAAATTTGTAAACGCTACTCCTCCTAGAGCTTTCAAGCTAGAACCACCAAACTCACTCAGCCCAGCTCTTCAGACTGATTAGTGTGCTATATCTTTTCTAACTGATCCGACTTATGGTTTTCGTAAAAATGTAGATTAAAAATCATAAAAATCCCATAGACTTACATTGACGGAATGTTCAGATGAGCCAAGACTATTCAAACTCCAACTGACAAAATTCTAATGTAAACAAACTGAAGCCTTTAGACTCAATCAAGCTTCCCTTCTATGTACTACTTCAAATCCATTTAAACTCATTCAAACTCTATCTATCTATCCTAGCGACATGCTAATCATGCTAACAAAATGCTAATCATGCTAACAACAGGCTAGTAACTTGCTAATCATGCTTGCAACATACTAGTAGCATGCTAGCAACGTTAATCCTGTTAGAAACATGCTAGTAACTTGCTAATCATGCTAGCAACATGCTAGTAGCATGCGAATCATGCTAGTAAAATGCTAATCATGCTAGAAAAATGCTAGTCACTTGCTAATAATGTTAGCAAAATGTTAGTGGCATGATAAACATGCTAGCAAAATGCTAGTAGAATGCCAGTCATGCTAGCAACATGCCAGTCATGCTAGCAAAATGCTAATCATGTTAGAAACATGCTAACGACATGCTAGTAACTTGCTAATCATGCTAGTGACATGCTAGTCACTTGCTAATCATGCTGGCAACATGCTAGTAGCATGCTAATCATGTTAGAAACATGCTAGTAACTTTGCTAATCATGCTAGCGACATGCTAGTAACTTGCTAATCATGCTAACAACATGCTAGTCATGCTAGCATCATGCTAATCATGCTAGAAACATGTTATCAACATCTATCTAATCTTGTTAACAACATGCTAATCATGCTAGAAACATGCTAGTAACTTGCTAATCTTGCCAGCAATATGCTAGTAACAGGCTAATCATGCTAAAAACATGCTAATCATGCTAGAAACATGTTGTCAACATCTATCTAATCTATCTAAATTTTCAAACTTCGGGCTTTTACAACTGCTTTATACTTTCAGGCTAGGCTTTCTCAAGCCAACCTAAAGATCGTCTTGACGAACTTTTTTATCTAGTTACACCTGTTGCAGCTAAATTGTAGCCTGTGTCTGATAGTAGTAAATTGGATGCTCAGTGACCAGTAGTACACACACTTGGTTAGTTTGTTTCCCTCTGAAGAGTTCAAAAGCTGTGCCTTTCTTTAACAGATGAGCTTCGCAGTTTGCGGGATGAGTATATGTCTGTGAGTGAAGAGGGGAAGAAGTTCCTTGAGAAGCGTTTTGGCCGACGGGTCATTCAGAAGGCGGTGGAGGAGTCTTTTAGCACAGACTGGCTGAAGGATAACTGTAAACAGTGCCCTTGCTGTGGCACTAATATACAGGTCAGTACTAAGGATGTGTGCATTAGGGGTCGACTGATTATCGGCACCGATATTAAGCATTTTTATGGTTATCGGTATCAGTCATTTTCAAAATCGATTTGCCGATAAAATAATTTAAAAGCGTTTAGAGAAAGCTTTTGTCAGAGCCCTTGTTATTCTTAATTTTGACATTAATTTTCATTTTTACACCAGACATATATATCGATTCAAAATATCGGTTATCGGTCTACTTTAACTGTAATAATCGGTATCCGTATCGGCCCTGAAAAATAGATATCGGTCAACCCTAGTGTGCATACTACATATTTCCAAAATTACGAGCATGAATGACTAGGTTTTGACCGAGGAAGTGAGCCTACGCCGATGTATGATTCATCGGCAGCTCCATTTCCCACAATGCAACACGATTGTGACATCACAGCAGATCGCACTTAATCTACCCCCACATATCAAATGAGTTACTTTGAGATAAAATAACAAATAACACTTGCTGTTTTGTAATTTTCTATATTTTTTCCAACAGCCAAAGCATACCTATAGGCAGTGTTGGGGGTGACGCATTACAAGTAACCCTAGTTATGTAATCAGATTACTTTTTTCAAGTAACTAGTAAAGTAGCGAATTACTTTTACATTTACAATGAAATATCGGAGTTAGTTTTTCAAATAAGTTACACAAGTTACTTTGTTTTCCCATTTATTCACTGAGAGCTCTCCTGTCCCCATGTTAAGAGAAATTGTGAGTGATGTGCAGAGGAAGAGGCACTTCTTTCAGCCTGAGGATTATTAATTTCACTTTTGGTGTGAAAGGACCTTTACAGTTGCCAAAAATATAACTTTGCGTTTTTTATTATTAAAAAAAACAAAATAAGTTCAGCCCAAGTGACAAAAAGTAACACAAAAGTGACGTAATGCATTACTTTCCATAAAAACGCATTTAGTTACTTTTTTTATGGCGTAATGCAATATTGTAATGCATTACTTTAAAAAGTAACTTTCTACACTGCCTGTAGACATATAGAATGGTGCATAAAACCAGAAGTTGATAAGGATGTCTTCCTTGCATTACTGGTAAATAATAAATCAACTCCATTCCAAGTGATCTAGGGCTTAGGGTGTTTCAATTCAACCCACTGCACAACTAAACCAAGGATTGTATCAACAAAGAAAGTTTTTTTTTTATTTAAGCTTTATATCTTCTGAACACCTGGTGGTGCTGCCTTTAAACTTTACAGGCAGCTTCAGGATCATGCTGACAGTGAGCTCTACAAAATTTTGTGCCAGTAAGTTAAAGTGTTTAAAAATATCCTAATTGAATGCAAATAGCAGTTCGTCCAATCCTGGCAAATATGGTATCGTCGGCGTGACCCAAGGAATCCATAGACACAAACATCACAATTTTTTGAAAAACATTTCAAAGGTTTTGAGCAAAAATAGCCATTTTTCAGATCTTTTGACCTGTAGGTGGTGCTATTCCCAAATTAAGCATGTGCTAATGAAGTGTACCAAGTTTCGTTTTGATGGATCATGGTGTTAGAGCATAGAGCATGGTGGATAGAGCACCTCATCCAATTTTAGGTCAGGATGTTTAATTTCACACAGTCATAACTTTTGATGAATATCAAAATTGTATATTAGGAATGTTTTTGGTCCAGTAATTAAGACCTATAAGTGGAAAAGTACTAGTCACTGATATAGTAGCAGTAAATATGATCATATACACCTATTAATTCAATTTGTACCTGGCATTCGAATTAAAAACTGCCCCAGAAAGCTGTATAAGAATCATTTAATTGGAGCACAATTGTGGGAACCCTCTGCAAACTGAGATCTGGTGTGTTGTGCAAAGGTGCGCTCTTTCGGTAGATTCTCAGAAAAACATGCCTGAATGACTCTGTGCATGGATTGAAAGTGCTCTTTTTCCCGTTTCTGTAGAAGGTGCACGGCTGTAACAAGATGACCTGTTCGTCCTGTCAGAAGTATTTCTGCTGGATCTGTCTGGGAGCTCTCAGCAGAGTGAACCCCTACAGCCACTTCAACAACCCCAGCTTGCCCTGCTATAACCAGTGAGTACCGTCTTCAACACGCTCTTATATGTGTTTCAGAGCCTTACACGCATGCATTTATTTCTCCCAACTATTTGCATTCACTTAAGACATAACCGTCTGGATTAATGTGGAACTTGCATGTTGTTAAAATAACCTTGTGTTACCATTTAAGCACAACAGGACATGAAAGAGAGCGTTAATACTCGTGCAGAAACAATGCTCTTCCATAACTAAGAACTGCACAACATTTGGGAAACTCAGGAGGCTTCTAAATCCATTGAAATGCATGCTTTTCCAACACCCTCTAAATGAGTAAACGGATAAACTCTGACAAAACAGATAATAAACATATAACTTTTTTGGTCAATTTCAGGGTAAGTAAGTAGCTATAGCAGCTTATTTTCTGAACATTTTTTAATTTATGTTCCAGGGTTAGTTTATGAATTATTATAAGATAAAGCAATGTTTTTTGTTTTACCCCACAAATCTTTAACCCTCCTGTTATGTGCAAATTTCAACCAATATTAAAATATATCAATAAATTACTCAAATTGACAAAATAATTTATTTTTATTTACTTACCCGATATTTTAAATAAATTTGGGGACATTTAGTTGGTCCCCATGAGGAAAACAGCTTGTTTTTGTTTGTTTGTTTATGTTTTTTGGAAATGTAAAAATGCAGAAAGTTTTGTGTTAGGGGAATGAAAATACAGTTAGTACAGTATAAAAATTATTATGTCTATGGAAAGTCCCCATATAATATGGAAACCCAACAACAATCATTTTTGACAGATGCTTGTAAAATTGTGTGTACAGTGTTTGTAAACACATTATTGTATGAAATAATTAAATATTAAACACAACAGAAAATTATTCTGCATATAATGTTTAATCTTTTTTTTTATGACATCACCAATTGGGTCAAAATGTGCACAGGCATTTTAAAAACTTTGTAACACAAGATGTGCACATTTATGGTTTCGTCTACTACATTTAGCAAGAGTCAGAAAGATTCAAGGTTTAAAAATATAGTTATCATATTTTTTTAGAGATGTCTAAGTTGCTTTGGGGTCAATTTGACCCAGACATCACAGGAGGGTTAAAAATAATAATAATAAAAAAATTAATAATAATAAAAATTATAATTTCACACATCCTGGGTCTGCATCTTATTTATTTATTTATTTTTGCAGCGGGATTATTTCTATATAATGCATTACAATAAGTAAGTTACAATTTTGTTACAGTGTAATTACACATACATACTGAGTAATATTAATTAAGAACATTTACTTACTCTAGGGTAATGGTTAAGTTTATGATTAGTTGCTTGTAATTAATTTGCTGTTGCTATAGTAAGTGCTTAGTCTCAAGATCAGTCTTAAAGGGATAGTTCACCCAAAAATGAAAGTTCTGTCATTAATTACTCGCCCTCTTGTCGTTCCAAACACGTAAGACCTTCGTTCATCTTCAGAACACAAATTAAGATATTTTTGATTTGTATTTATTGATTAAATAAAAGACATTTCTCAGGCAGTGAATGTGGATCATTCAGATGAATCTGGTTTGGTCTTGACTCAGGTTCTGGTGTACATACTGTTTTACAAATCTGACTTTTAGGATGAAAAACCTTCAGGATGAGATCTACAGTACATGAGGACTCTGGTCTTAAAGTCATGTATAATAGATTTGAGATGATTAAAGGTTGATGAAATGACCTGCACACTTGCTGACTGTGTTTATTCGTTTATTTTCTGCTCTAGATTGTTTCAAGGAGTGGAAATGGACGAGGAAGAAGGCTTTGGGAGTGACGAAGATAACTGATCCACTATAAATTAAATGTTTAAAGCATGTTACATTATTCAGGCAGTGTTTTCATGCACATCAGACTGGACTCGACCAGAACCGAAAGCCCAAGACCTGACTTGAGTGTCAAGCATTTTTTAGCAATATATTTTTTTTGCATTTTTGCAATTCAAATTCCAGCTCATACAAGCATCCCTTCACATAGTTTCATTGAAGATTGTAAACATTTTCACTGTTACGTACAGCCATGCAGGAAAATCAGCCTAACAGATGTGCATGCACAACTACAGAATATATCCTATATCTTTAGTTTATGAATCAGGTTTCTTTGCTGTTATTGTCTTTTAAGAAGATGTATTGTTTATATAGGTATCCTCAGCTATTGCTGTCATTGTTAATAATGTACATTTCATCATTTGGACAAACGGTGGATGGATTTAGCAGTAAAATAAATGTTAAAGAGTTCTTGTGGCGTGCATACTGTCTTTGATTAGGTGACACATCATCAAGATTTTAGGTTAAAGTTATTAAACTCACTGTTTATGTAATGCATGATCAGTGGGCTCTGAGCTTGTCCTCAGTAACAGTATTACAAAATGTAATCACGAAGCTTCTCAATACTGTACTTTATTATAATCCCTTTGAGTAGTCTATAACATAACTACACAGACTTTATTTAATATATGCAGGCTACACAAACTGCACATGCTGAAATAATTCTGCTAGCACTACACGGTTAGTGAGTGCATTGGTTATCAGGAACTACAGCTTTTCTCAAACTAACGCGTCTGAGTTCAGAATCCTGTGTAAAAACACAATGCCACATAAAAGCCAGACTGAGTTATGCCTGCTCTGACCCACCTCAGGCCCTGCTATCACAGTACTGTATAAAGGTGCATCATAACAGTTTGGTAATTAAAGACTTATTTGTTGATCATTTTACGCAGAATGGTTGAAAATTACCCATAAATACAATTACAATGTGATGTAATGGCTTATCACTTTTGACCAATAGGTGACGCTGGCACTAGTTACTAGTTACTCCTTTCAAAAGTAATGTTATTACTTGTTACTTTCTGGCAACAGTAATTAGTTACATTACTTTTCCTTCACGTCCCACAGAAGCTGTTATTGTGTTTCTTCCCCATAAAATTCTTCTAAAATGTTACTAACAATATATTTCTGCCTCGTCATTTGACCAAAGTCTACATTGGCTCAGTCAGAAGATTTGACAAACACTCAGTGGTGATGGATAGATGTGTGAAGTTATGGAATGTAAGAATGTTTATGAGGACTGGTTGATATAAATCATGTTTACAGTAGTTTTTTTTTTCTGCCTGCCTGGGTAATGTTCAGGTGAGCTGTGTTTTTTTGTAAAAAAAAAAAAATTATAATATGTAAAAACTCAATAAAGATATGTTATACAAACACACTATATATATATATATATAGGCTACACTACCAGTCAAAAGTTTTTTAACAGTAAGATTTGTTTTTAAAGCAGTCTCTTCTGCTCACCAAGCCTGCATTGATTTGATCCAAAGTACAGCAAAAGCTGTAATATTGTGACATTTTTATAATTCAAAACAGCTGTTTTCTATGTGAATCTCTGTTAAACTGTAATGTATTTCTGTGATGCGCAGCTGTATTTTCAGCATCATTACTCCAGTCTTCAGTGTCACATGATCTTCAGAAATCAGTATAATATGCTGATTTGCTGCTCGAGAAACATTTATTATTATTATGATGAAAACAGCTGAGTATAATTTTTCAGGTTTCTTTGATGAACAGAAAGTTCAGAAGAACAGCATTTATCTGAAATAGAAATCTTTACATTAACATTATAAATGCTTTATCATCACTTTTGATCAATTTAAAGCATCCTTGCTAAATAAAAGTATTAATTTCTATCATTTCTCTT